GTCTCAGTGTCTGCTGCTCTTTTTCCAGCTCAAACTTTTATGATTCCAGAGGCCTTTGAGGTCTTAGATATTGCTCTATCAGTAGCTCCTGGTGAACTAACAGAACAAAATAGGCACTGGGTTTTCACTACAGGGTTAGTCTTCAATTACCAAGTACTCTGTTTTCAACTAAAGAAGAACTATCTTTCTGGAAGATTTTACTTCCTACACCAGGATATGAAGTTACTTACAACTGCATGTAGACTTAGGTAGACGCCTGTTTTGCCTGGAGCGGTACTGTCGGCATCAGCACAACACCCTGGAAGGGGCGCCATTCAGTGCAACCCAGCATGGTTAGTTGGGTGTGGAAAGATTCGTGCATTCATTCTGACCTGGGGCTGGCCTCCAATGAGGGTGGGTTGACTTCGCCCTGTCAGTCCTCCTTCCTCCACCAGTGCAAAGCCTGAGACCCCCTGACCTGTTCCTCTAGGCACAAGCTGCCCCCTTTGACCTATTGTCCCTATAGTGCTGCCCTTGAGGTTGATCTTGACCACATTCCTCCTTTGGGATGGATACACCTACACAAGGGACCAGCACACAGTGGGTCTCATCTGGGTTCACTCTCTCCGGGGGTTACTAGAGAAGATGGCCTTGGCCCAGCCCCATCACCTCCTACCCAAGGACATCACAATTGAGCCTTTGAGTAGACTATGTAAGTCACCTTTTCCCCTTCTACTTTTACAGCCAGACTTCTGAGCCCAAAGCCTGGCCAGCCTACTCTAATTACACCCAGGCTCCTTCCGCCTCAGAGACCTCAGACCAATTTCCAAAAACTACCTTTCAGTTCTGAGTCTGGGATCTCCTTTCTAGCCAGAGGGCAGGGATCCCAAAAGATGGTGCCAGGCTGGGCACATTATGGCCACTGTCATGGAACTGGGAACTTGAAATCAGGCAACAGTTTTGAGGAATAACTTCCTGTGAAATCCTCATCACAAAGCAGTCATCAGGAAGCCAAGGTTCCAGGGGCGCCTGGGTGGCTTAGTCGGTTAAGCATCCGACTTTCACTTAGGTCATGATCTCGCAGTTTGTGGGTTCAAGCCCCGCGTCAGGCTCTGTGCTGACTGCCAGCTCAGAGCCTGGAGCCTATTTCGGAGTCTCTATCTCCCTCTATCTCTGACCCTCCCCTGCTCACGCTGTCTCTCTCTCTCTCTCTCTCCTAGAAATAAATTAAAAAATATATGTATATTAAAAAAAAAAAAAAAAAAAGGAAGCCAAGCTTCCAGATCCATATCAAGAGAAACCAGAGTGTGAAGCCAGGAGGGCTTAGAACTATGGGAAACCCCTGCACAGGGTGAGGAGGGGGAAGGTAGGAAGACACTGTGGGAGGGAATTCTCTCAGCCCCCAAGCACAGGGCACAGGTTCTACTTTTTATGTGGCCCCTGCGGCTACCCCAGGGCCCTGAGGACACAGCCCAAAGGGGATTGTCTGATCTCCTGTGCAGTCTTGCTTGTAACTGGAAAAAACTTCCGAAGAAGACAACTCCCTTGATACTTATCAAAAGTTCAGAATTTTTAATCAACTCTTCGGTAAAGTGCTACAGGACAGACACAGGCATAGAAGGGCTTTTTCTTGGCTGGAAAACTGTGTTGAGCAAAGAATAAGCCTTCCAGAAACCAGGGATAAAAATAAGTTGTCTGTCTCCTCTACTGAGTATCGTGAGAGGCCAGAAGAGAGAAGAGGGGCTCTAAACCCCCTTGTCTATTTTGGGAAAAACATGTCCTTACTTGATGGTTTCTTGATAATAATGGAGTATAAGCTGAAAGGACGTCCAAAACAATGATTTTCAAACTCTCTGCAAAACCTTAGAGTTCAGGGAGGTTCCAGGTTACCATCATGCAGGTAAGTGAAGGGCCAAATTCACCAGGGCACCCCCCACCAACTTCAACCAGAAAAGTCTGCTTTAATCTAGTTATGTATTCATATTATGTCAGAGTGCTTTCATGGCTATAGAAAAGTGTTTGGAAGCCCATAAGCTACTCCAATGCCTTATTTCACAAGGAAAATGAAAACAACAACAGGGACTCCTGGGTGGCTCAATCGGTCAAGTGACCGACTTTGTCTCAGGTCATGATCTTGCGCTGTCTGGTCCGTGAGTTCGAGCACCGTGTCAGGCTCTGTGCTGACAGCTCAGAGCCCGGAGCCTTCTTTGGATTCTGTGTCTCCCTCTCTCTCTGCTCCTCCCTGAGAATAAAAGTTTAAAAAAAATTTTTTTAAAGAAAAGAAAAACAACAAAAATGAGGTGCAGAGGGACTGTCTACAGAAAGTGAATGGCTGAATCAAGATGAGAATTTGGTCTCCTGGGTTTGGTTCACTCAACATTCAGTGAGCAAAAACTTATTTAGCACTATTTGGTGCAAAGCATTTTGCTTTGCAAGGTAGGGGTATCATGGTTGCTGAACCCCAAGATGGTTAGGATGTAGTAGAGCTTCAGATTTTGGTTCCTTGAATACTACCTTAGCATACATAGTTTATTGATGCTATAAAAAAAAAAAAATGGAAATGCAGCGTGGTAATGTAGCTTTCCATATTGATTCAGCCAGTACCTCTAAATCTGGGCAAATGTTTTCTTTCTTGTCCTAGACAGTTAGTATTGCTGATACACTCCTAGGCTGACAGTTTCTTTGAGCACTTTGCCCATGGTCTTCTGGGTGACACTGAGAAGTCCAATGTCAAAAAATGTCCTCCCCTTGTAGTTGATATGCCTTTTCTTTCTGGCTGCTTTAAAGATGTTCTCTGCGTCTCTGGTATTCTACCATTTCATTACAGTGTACCTATGTGTGTTTTATTTATCCTGCAGGATACATTGTACTTCCTGAACTTATTAATTTACTGATTTTATCAATTCTGGAAAATTGTTAGTCATTGCTTCTTTGAATATTGACTCTCTTCCTCTCTGAACTTTGGGACTTTTAGACCTTACAATATCCTCCATATTTTTTTACTTCTCTTTCACATATATATATAAAATAGGATATATATGTATATATGTGTGTGTATATATATATATCTTATCTCCTTCATTCTTAGTAATTTCCTCAATTCCATTTTCTACTTTATTTTCTCTTCATCTGTGGCACGTCGATTACTTACTTCCCCTATGTTGAGTGTTTTCTTTCAGTAATTACATTTCACCTCTAAAAGTTCTAATTGTTCTTTCTCAAATCTTCCAGGTCATTCCTGATAGGATCTCTGTCTGGTCATTTTGTTGTTATTGTTGTTGTTAACATTTCTTACCTTTCTGTTTTCTGTTTTATATCTGGAAATGTTAAACTCTTAAGTCCTTAAAGACCTAAATCTGTTGTTTGTTTCTTTGTTCTTCTCCTGACTTTCACCTATGTTTTCTGGTCTTTGATGATGAGTTATTTGCTCATTTTAATCTGTGCCGATCCTGAGAGCCTGGTTTAGGGAAATCTCCTCCAAAGAGGACTTACAATTGCTCCTGCCTGAATGCTATCAGTCTCCCTCCATAGAAGCGAATGTCAGCCAAGCCTTCCAGGTTGATTGTGTGTCTCAGTTCTACCAGCCCCGCCCCCTTGCCCTGTCCTGAAGGTTGCTCTCTTAGTCATTTGCCAACATGCACTTGTCTTCCAGGCAACAACTCCCACCTTTCATATTTGCTTACTACTCACTATTTCTACCACTGGTTTCAGCACATGGTTTTGTTTTAGTTTGCTGTTTGTGCCGGCGCAGAGGGTGGGTAGTGGGTAGGGTCCTTGAGATTTCCTGACATCTTGCAATTCCCACAGTGCATCAAGAGGTATGTTTCATCTAGGATCTGGGCCCTTACTAATATGCAGTCTTCCATAACGCTGGGAAGACGACCTTATTCAGTTCAAAGAACCCTATTTATGGATTCCCTCTGCTGCTGCTTTTTGTCCTGAAGCCTTCAGGCTTAAAGTCTTGTCAGCTTGTACCTCAAGAGATCTAGCAGGCATGATACCTAAAGAAAAAGATGAATGAGAAGCACAAGTTAAGCTTTGTCTTCCCAGAGAGCATTTCGAGATTTTCTCTCACTAAAGGAGGCTGTGGCCTGGCTCTCTGATCCTGTCTATTCTCTGACTGTTTTCCTTTTATCCCCTCACGTGTTGATTAAAGCCTTTGCTTTTGTGACAGTTCCAATCCTTTATCTTTGAATAGTGCTTTATAGATTGTGAAATACTTAAACATATAACGACTTGCCTGATCTTCTTAGCACCCCTCTGAGCAAGGCATCCTTGTCACCATTTTAGAAGAGGATGGCAAGGCCCAGAGAGGTCACCTAACTTGCGTAAGGATATAAAATCTATTTATCAGCAAACCAGGACCTCCACCCATACTTCTTGATTCGAAACCCATCACTTCCCCCCAACTAAATCTGCTTTCCATGAGTGAGAAAGTAAAACATAATCAGTGATTCATTCATTCATTTGTCTACTATTTATTGATCATACATAATCTATCAGGCACTGTTGCAGGCATCAGGGTATACCTGACAGTAAAGCTCTGCCCACATTAGAGTCCAGCTAGTGGCAGGAAGTAAATAAACAAGCAATGATATAATACCACAAGGTGACCATTGCTATGGCAAAAAATAAAGCAAAATGTGGAGATAAAGTAAATGAGGCTCTAGGGAAATATGGGGCTGGCTGAATGAGATGAAGGAAGGAATCATGGGAAGGACTGAAAGAAAAGCACCCCAGAGAGAAGCAGCAGCATGTACAAAAGCCAGAGGTAGGAAAGAACTTAGCTTATTCTAAGATCAGTCGAAGGACTCCGTGACTACAATGGCCCAAGCAAAGGGGAGCCTGGCCAGAGATATGATAGAAAAGGGGGCTGGGGAACATAAGGAAGATTGAAGGAGAAATGTTGAAGGGGAAGGAAGGAAAATCTGAGTCTGCTTTCCTTTTCAGTAAGAAGAACCTGTGTGTGTATGGACACTGCATTTTAACAGATCTTCTTCTATTGCTCGTCTCTTTCACAGGCATACAGGTTTTCCCAGCTTCCTGAAATGGTCATGGGCTCTCCCCCTCCACCTGTACCTCCCCGGACTGGCCCTGTAGCTGTTGCTTCTCTCAGGCGGTAACACATTCCTTTCTTTGCTTTGCTTGGAATGTTTGGAGAGGATTTGGTTCTGTGTACCCTGACCTGACACATTTCCTTCATGCCCACTGCATTCAGGGTGCAATCACCTGTACAGACAACCTCATGCCTGGAGTGCTCCCAGTACCATGAAGGAAATGGGAACACAGAGAAGGTTCACCAACTTTCTTATCACTTAAAATGGAAAGTCCTTTAGAACCCACAACTGAAGAAACTTAAGGTCAACCAGCCCGTACGCTGGAAGCCACAAACCCTGACCTTCAATATCTAAAAATTATTCCAGCTCAGGCCACTATGACAGCTGCCTCCAATCTGGGCCCCTCCTGGCATGTGTGTGTACCCAGAAATCCCTTTGTTGTTTAGGAGATGTGGCCACGAGGCCAGGGAGCAGCATGTCTGGGCACCCAGCCTAACTCTTGACTTCCAAGCCAGGAGGCTGAAAACACATGAACTCAGATAATGTATAAAGGTATTAACTCAGATATAAAGATATAACTCAGATATGATAAAGATATTGTCTTTACTCTGTGATCATATAAAAAGCACATGTTTTAAATAAAGATAGGCAAGAAACACAAAATTCATCTAGCGCTGGGAGATGCTGGAATAGGTATCAGGTCCAGGGTTAAAGAAACAACCGTGCCCCGGATAGGTATGGGCCACTGCCCTGGCCCTCTACCTTAGCTTCCCCCCAACATGCTAGCCTATCTGTGGACCATAGGTCTGAACTTTGTGAAAATGGTGAAGAAAAATGAGTTTTCCTCATGAATAGCCGTGCCCTCATTTCCAGCAGTTTAGAATGCCACACTGTGTGTAGACACCAGCCCTTGACTCCAGTAGAGCTTAGAGTAGGTTGAGAAGCAGTAGCCCAGAGTTCCATCCTAACCCTGTGTAACCCTAGGCAAGTTGCCTCAACTCTCTGGCCCCTGTTTCCTTATCTGTAAAATGAGGGAGCGAGCCTAACTGATCCCAGAGACTTTGGGATTCCTCCAAGGGAGCTGAGTGAATGGGACAGAACCCGGGAATTTTCCTCAGAAGGGTTTTCTAAACTAGTAGCAGATGCCTGGAATAGTATGTGGGAAGCCAGGGGTGTGGGAGAGGGCAACCAAGAGAAAGATGGAGGGATCCAGAAAGGAAGGGAGAGCCCTCATTACCAAGCCTCCAGCAGCCACCCTGATGTAGAGTCACATCATCACAGCCTCTGTGTTTAACCTTCCCTGGGCAATAGTGGGCAGCCTCAATTACTCCTGAGAGTTCCGAATGCCAGGAACTTCACATCAGTCATTTGTGGCCCATTTTCAGAAGGACAGTGTCTGTTTTATATTTCTTCTCTTAACCATCAGTCTCTTCCCATGCCCTTCCACACTGTCTACCGTCTTCCCAAATATCAGCAGGTCACTGCTGTACATACGGACTCAGAGGATTAAACCAGGGAGCAGCCTTGGAGAAGGAGGTCATCCACCCCTTTTGTTTCACAGACCAGGAAACTGAGGCTGAGCTAGGGGAGGTAGCCAGAACCCAGACCCTTGCCTCTTGGCCCAGCTGCCATGCTGTGGCTCTGTTCTGCACTTCCAGTGACAGACACTCGCTGCCCAGAGCCATGTGTGCTGGCAGCCTGCCACCAGCTGTGGCTGCCTTTGCCACCTTCCATTTTAATTTTAGGAGCCTGAAATCCCTCTGTGAAGGGGCGGATAGAGACGGGCTAAAGCACCCTTTATTAGAGGGGGAGAGGCTGGGCCCGGTGGAGCCCAGGCAGCCTTCTTCGCACTGGCATTCTGAGCAGTAAGTGGAATTATAATGTGTTTAATGGGCCGGATTCTCCGCTCCCCTGTGGGACCAAGGGGGAAAAAAAGTCTTCTGTCACTCATAACGCCTAGAAAGTGCTAGGCTCCGCTTCTGGGAGCAGCCCGAGCTTCCTAGAGCCTTGGGCTTCTTGCTGCCAGCAGCAGCAGGGAACTGCGGTCCTCCAGGCTCTAGTGGGTCACCGGCCCTGGTGTCTGGAGGGGGAGCGACCGGCCACTGCAACCAGAGCCTTCTCATTGGCTGCTGCTGATGTCATCCCCTCCCAGGTCGACCATCCCCAGCTAATACCCAGCGATAATTGCCTGGCTTATTTTTATGTGGAAATTAAGTGTTCTACTCCCCAGAGACACAAGAACCACCCTCGGGGGAGCACTGACCTTGAATATCTAAAAATGACTTCAGTTCGGGCCACCCCGGCGGCTGCTCCAACTCCGGGCGGGCGCATTGGCCTTTGTTATTCCGGGGAGGGGAGGGGAGATAAATCTGGGCCTGAGGACCCACCCTCGTGGGGCTTGAAAGGCCCGCATCCCCCTCCCCCCCCCTCCCGGAGGCGACCCTCAGAGGTGACAGGTGGCGGGCTTGGAGAACGGGGGAATTGACGAAGCCCCTCTGCGCCCCCTCCCCCCCAGGTCCACCTCGGACGTGGGCAGCAAGACCAGGATGGCTGAGTCCGCGGGGCCCGAGCCGGCCCAGCTGCACGACAGCCCCTCCTTCGCGCAGGTGTCCAGAGGCCCCGTGTCCGTGGCGCAGTTGGACCAGTCGGCTTTAAATTACTCAGGTGGGCAAGAGGAGAAACGCCTGAAAAAAAGCGGGCGCCCTACTCCCAGCCCCACCCCGGTGCTGTGCTCTTTGCACTCCCCCGCCCCCAAACACACCTGCTCCCTGCTTTCCTCAGCAATCCCTGCAACTGTATGTCTGACTTCAGTAGCCTCGGTGAGAAGAGCTGCTGTTCTATTTCTTTAAAATCTGAACTATGACAAAATATTAAGATAGGCTACAGTAAGGGTATAGGCTCACATTTGCCCGACTTCAGGGTTTCTGTTTAAATTATTACGTATCTTTAAAGCATTACAAACAACCCTCCAGCCCTATCTGATTCCTCGTCTTCCCAGAGGTAATCCCAATCCTTAAACTGAGGGTGTTAACTTTTTGCTACATATGTACGTATATCCAATAGGGTATATTAATGCTTTTGTTACTGTACATGTACACAAGCGATATCAAACCATACATTTCCTTCTGCGTTTGTTTTCTTGCCTCAGCATTGTTTTCAGGATGGGTAGGTACTTACAGATCTAGTTCATTTGTTTAAACTGCCACATGGCATTCAGTGATGTGATCTTCCAGTTTGTCCTTTCCCCTAACGAGGGACGTATTGGTTGTTTCCAATCTCTTGCCACTCGAAACAATGCTGAAATGAACATCCAGGTTTTTTCATGCCCTGATTGGTTTTTTAGTCTATTCAAAGCATACCTTTTAGACTAAAACTACAAACACTTAGTTGTCAACACTTAACTAAAGAATTCACTGTGTCCAGAAATTCTATCAATGGAACCCATTTCTTTTGGTTCCTTTTCTTGGCTTTTTTAAAACACCCATTCTCCCAGGAGAAGCCTCTCTGGACACTAAGGTGTCCCTTCTTCTTGCCAGTAGGTAAGGGGTGTTAGGATGAGGATGGGGGGTGGTGAGAGTTCAGGGAGGGGAGCTGGGCTGCCATTTCTCTAGAAAACCAGGTGTGAGTCACAGCAGATGAGTGGGCAGGTGGGTGGGGCTAGGGCTGCAGGTTGAGGTCTGCTCCACACCTCATTTTCCCCTCCCCCCATGCCAGAGTTCACCCCCATTTCCCTGCCCCCCCCCCCCAGCTTTGTGCAAATGTGAGCCGGGTAGGTGGGATGCTGCCTAATCCTCCCCATTCATCTGATCCGTGCCAGGTAATACGGTGCCGGCAGTGTTCGCCATCCCAGCTGCCAACAGACCTGGCTTCACCGGCTACTTCATCCCGACGCCTCCCTCATCCTATAGGAACCAGGCCTGGATGTCCTATGCAGGAGAGAATGAGCTCCCAGGCCAGTGGGCCGATTCGGTGAGAGGCTTGCTGATTTCCCTCACAGCCTTACCTGCTCGACACACTTCAGGGAGAAAACGGATGAGACGTTAAGAGTGTTTTGTTATCTCAGGCCCCTTGCCACCAAGCAGGTGGCTAATGTCAAGACAGTGGAGACAGTGTAGTCAGGTGGGATGTCTGTTGACAGAGGAACTTGAAACCCGCCTTCCAGTCCAGATTGCACCTCTTTCTAGCAAGGCATCCTTAGTCAAATCAAATTTTATTGAAACCGTCAGTTTTGGAGTATTTTCTATGTGCCAGACACCATGTTAGAGGTTTATTGGTCTTATTCTACACAACAATCCTATCAGGTAGGTATTATTATTCCCATGATGTGTCCCATCTTGCAAATGAAACTAAGACCCAGTCAGGTGACATGACTGTCTAAAGCCACACAGCTTTCATTAGGTGCTAAGGCCAAAATTCAAACATGCATTGGTCTGGCTCCAAAGCGGTTATTAAATTTGTTCCTTCTAGTTTTAAAATTCTATAAAAATTTTAGATGGAGTATCAGAAGATATAGTTTTAGAAACTCAAGATTGAATTACTTTGCACATAGACCCTAAGGCATTCTGCCTGACTTCTGGCAAAGGATTGTGTTGTCCTGACCCTCCTGTTCCCATGCTCCATCATAAGTAGGAGTCTGTGGCACACTGGAGCTGGCCCAGCCTAGACCAGAGAGGGCAGCAGCCAGGCAAACCTGGATAGGCACACCCAGACCCGTCTCAGAGTCACCTGTCAAGGGCTGCTAAGTGAGAAAAACCAAGCAAACGAAAATAGCGCAGTGCTGGCCTCTCGTGTGGGTTGCCCCAATCCCTCTGGAATGTCATCCATCATGGACAAGAAAGGCAGGCTGTCTCCCAGACTTCACCTGAGGGCCACCTGGGAATGTGTGTCATTTTAGGGTTTGGTCTCAACATTTGAAATATATCCTAGATTTAGCAAACATCCAGTCCAAGGCCTATGTCATCTTTTCTCTGTCTGAAACCCTGAGGTCCATGCCTTCTATGCCCGCAGGTTCAACTCGGCCTCAGCACTGGTGTCTGTTCTTATTGTCATGATGCCACCTCCAAACAACATCATTGGGGCAAAGCTTTCCTACATATATTAACTTTCCTGATGATCAAAGCTTATCCCTTTAATTTTCAAACTGTTTAAAAATACATGCTTTCTTGCATTTAAAAATTTCTGGAATGAATTATATCTTTCCCCCCTCCTTTAAAAGAGGAACATAATTTAATTTGTCTTTAACAAATGATTCAGCATCATTAGGATGCCTTACTATACTAAAATGACATTTGAAAGATGAGCTTTGATGGTAGGATTATTGCCCCTACACCAGATATCTCCAAACTACTATAATTTTTAGAGTTATTACTACACTCAATATGATTTTTCTTTCTTTGTGCGCCCAACTGGACCTTATATTGCTGACAGTGTTTCCACTTCCATAGATATACCCACCTTTAAATATGCTTTTCCTAATGGGCTATTATCTACAAATGGAGCATGTCTGAGCTCATTAGAATTGTTTGTCAAATTGGAGTAAATAAACTTGAAGAATAATTTATAAGGATTCCCTATTGTTAAGTCTACAAATCTTTTAAAAGAAAATCTTTAAAAAAATTTTTTTTAATGTTTATTTATTTTTGAGAGAGAGAGAGAGAGAGAGACAGCCATCAGCTGTCAGCACAGAGCTCAACGCAGGGCTCAAACTCATGAACCGTGAGATCATGACCTGAGCTGAAGTCGGGTGCTTAACCGACTGAGCCACCCAGGTGCCCCAAGTCTACAAATCCTAATGTGAGACTTGGTGCCATCTGTTTTGGTTGTTTATGTTTGTTTTGGCTGTCATGCTTGGCTGTTTCAAACAACTAAAATCACTGGGTATGAGTTGATCAGTTCAGAGCTTACTTGACTCCGTAATTCCACTCACAGTCTAAACATAATGTGTGCTTTTCAGAAAGTAGATGATACTTAATTTGTGCTATTTAAACAGTAAGCATACAGCTTTGTCGTTTCACCCTCTGCATGGAAAATTCCAGTGGGTACGCTGGAGGAGTCAACACAAGTATTTTACAAACCTTGGCTCTTGCCCTCAAGACACTTACAGATGATAGCTGGGCTTATGGTGACTTCCAGATGTCTTTGGGTTCATATTGCCTTAAAGGTGAAAGAATAGGAACCCAGAAAATCAAGACCTAACCTTCCTAATGGGATGATTTGATCATTCTGGGCCCATCCACTCAGTATTAGGGAGAGTTAGCTTTCTGTTCATTGTTTTTAAGAGGAACATGATCACCACAGCCTAAATGGGTCTTTCCTGGGGCCCAGTTACCACCTGCAGTTAAGCAGGGCAGTTGTGCCCATGCAGGAACCACACCAGGGAGGAGGACAGGTGATTTCTCACATGTGAAACAAAGTGCAGGAAGCTCAGAGGGACTGGTTGTCAACTAGAGAAATTGGGACAGGGATGGTGTCCGCTTCCGCATCATCTGAGAAGGAGAAAGGCCCCACCATCATTTGGATGTCTGACCTCCCTGATCCCAGGCATCCAGACTTCAGGAGCTAGCTCAGATAAAATCACCTCAACCTGGGTGGACAAGTAGGTTTCATCCTTGGAGCTTGGTGGAGAAGGATTGGGAGGGGTGTGCTGTGAGCAACAAGTGATGCCTGCCATTGGCACTGCCCAGGGAACGCGTGGTTTTCACCGGCCCTGAATTTTGGCCAGCAAGATGTGATGGCTCCAGCCTGCATCTACGGCAAGAGAAGAAGAGTGTCTCATCTCTTCATCTTCTCTGCTTCTGGGTATTACCCTGAGGGCACTCCAGTGGAGTCAGGTATCCCTTGTCCGTCCCAGCCATTGGTACCAAGACGCTCGATGCTGTAGAACTGAGGGGTCTTAGGAGTTGGACAGTCACTCTAAGCTCCAGCTAAATGTGAAATGCCAGGAAAGGGGATATGACAGCCTCCCTCACAAACATATGGCACCAGCTGGTCACCCTCCAGTGATTTTCAAACTGTGTCCCTCAGAACCCCAAGTTCTGAGAGACTCCCCACTGTGTACCATGCATAATTCTGGGCACTGGTGCACACTGATAAGCAAGCAAGACAAAGTTCTGCCTTGACGATGTCAGTGGCCTGAGACAGGTGTTGGCATCTGGGGTGACGACCGTTACTCTAGAGAAACCACATGAAAGCACCTTACAGGAAGCCCTCGACTAATGTAGGGCAGGGGAAGGTGTCCTAGAAGAACGAACAGTCAAGCTGAGACGTGATGGGCAAGTCCTCTGTCCTGGCCTTGGATCTGCTTCCCCCCCAGTCACCTCCTGCACATTCCTAGTGCCTGTGGTCCAAGGATGCAGACCGCTCAACTCTGGTTTTCCTCTAAGGTGTAAGGGAAATACGCACAGCCCTTGTGCAGAAGGATCCACCATTAGCACCTATTTGCCACTTTGTCTTTCTTTGTCAGGTCTTGGGAAATTAAAGCCCCACGTTTTGGGACATCCATTCCACTACTTCTTTCCTCACGCCGGTCCTCACCGGCCCTCACCGGCCCTCACCTAGCCCATTGACGAGGGTCAAGAGCTCTCCTCTTGACCTCCAGTGAGTCTACCTCCCAAGTGTCCTTTCTAAAACACAGGCCCCTCCTCTGCCTGGTCGCGCACTGGTGGCTCCCTGGCCAGGCGGCAGGCATGCATCTCAGAAAGCTGCCTTCTCAGGAGGAGTTGTCAGACACCTCATGCAGGGAGTAGAAGGCGGCCACTTTCCTGCTAAATATTCACCCATCCAAAATTTTTGACTCTTCGCCCAACCCCCTCCTGTTCCATCCTCACCAGAGCCCAGACAAGTGTCTCTGTAAAGAATGGGAACATGCTGTGTTCCTCAGAAGTGTGCCATAGAAAACTAGACTCTATAGCTTGGCATTCAGTGGCTTTCTGATCTGGCCCTGCCTGTCTGCCTTTCCTGAGCTCTTTCAATATGCTGTACATCCTCTCTGGTCAGACGGAACCCCCGAAGCTTCTTGCATCCCCTGTGCACCCCTAACCTGTGCCTTTGCTTTTCCTCTGCTGGAAAGCCCCTCCCGCCTTGTTTTCCTGTCAACAGCTATTCATCTTCCAGACACAGCTAAGCTGCTTCTCCCCAAAAGCTGCCTGACTCCCCACACATGTCTGTTGCCCACAGCACCCTGTGCCTACGTTGTCCACAGTCTTTCATCCCACAGGGTTCCAACTAGCATTATGGGATATAAAGGTCTTTTGTGGGTTGCCCTCGAACAGCATCCCCATGTGTGGCACGGTTTCTGTGGGAAAGTTGAGCCTGAATTCCAAATCACTGACTTGTCCTTATTCCTAGATATGTCCATATATTTAGGCACAGAAGTATGTGTTTTCCACTTTTAATGAAAAGACAAAATTTTTCAAGAATCCAAGATCATATCCCAGGTCCAAGACAGTGCAGAGATTAACTCCCAGCCTGTGGCATCAGATGGACCTGCTCAAAGCATGTCTCAGTGGCTTGTTAATCATGTCACCAAAGACTGTGACAGTCTACTTCAGTGTCCTCTTCTATAAAATAAGGATAACAGTATCTACCTCCTAGGTTGTTGCTTTGAGAATTAAATGAGATGATAGCATGTGGAAAGCCCTCAGCACAGGGCTCCTTCAGTGTGAGCAGTTATTGTCGGGGATAAACCCCTGAGTCCTTTGAGGTCTGTGAAGAACAGTAATTCTGTTTGCTGGGTTGTGCTTATGTTAAAAAGGCAGGCAGGTAGATTCAGGGGGAGACTCAGGCATGTTCCAACTGCTTATAGCAATGTTCAAAACACCTACTTAATTCATCTAACCAGCATATCCAGCGAGTCCAAATGACCTATTTTCTAAACAAACAGACTCCAGATTTTATATGTGTACAGTGGTCCCCCATTTTCTTCTGGATCTCTTTCCTTGTCTTCAGTCCCCTCCTGCATCCAGTATTGACTTGAACCCCTTCCTAATACTGGGCCCTTCTCTTCTCTCCCGACCCTCTGCAGGTCCCCCTCCCAGGGTACATAGAGGCTTACCCCCGGTCACGTTATCAGCAAAACTCTCCCTCCAGGCTCCCTCGCCAGTACAGCCAGCCAGCAGGCCTGCACCCCAGCCTGGAGCAGGCCCCGGGGCCGTCCGCGGCCGCCTCGCAGCAGAGCCTCGCGGAGAACGACCCATCTGACACGCCCCTGACCAACATCTCCACGGCGGCCCTCGTGAAGGCCATCCGCGAAGAGGTGGCCAAGCTGGCCAAGAAACAGACAGACATGTTTGAGTTCCAGGTCTAATGCCTTAGCCCCATGGGACTTCCAGACTCTGAGGAAACAGTTTTCTGCTTTCTCCGCCTAACATGCTGGGACTTGAGGCATAGACCATGTGTGAGTCTTTCTCACCCTCAGTCTCTGAAAAGGGGAATGGTGGGGCTTCTGGGCAACAGAGGAGACTCTTGAACAACTTGATTCTTGGCTTATTCAATTGATTGTATGTCAAGAAGTCCCCGTGTAGGACCATATGTTTGATATTCTGTGAAGTTAAATGTTTGAACTGTGGGTATATTTCCCTATGGAGCCTTAGTCACAAGAGACACTAACTAATCTGCAGACCCCTGTCCAATGCCACATTTTAATAAATCACCAGAAGGGGGAGAACATTGCTCTGTCTTCGGTGAGTTCTGCATGTTAACTCTGTTTCTGTGTTAAAGGCAATGCAGGCATCTGATTAAGCACCAGACTGTACTCTCTCTCTCATTCAGCCATGACTGTGATCATTTGAATCACCTCTGGTCTGTAAAGGAGGCACTGACTCCAGCCAAGAAACTTCAGTCCTTTTCTTTTCAAGGTTCATATTCGAAGTCAGATGAATTGGATGAAAATCAGTATTGTCGATGACTGCACCTATAAATAGTCCTGACTCTTTTTTCCTCCCATTAATTAAACAACGGCTGAGAAAGAGAGCAGATGAGAGGGAATGGTGGATTTGTGTTGACAAGTTTTTGAAAAGGTGTTGTCATTTTGGAACTTGAGTACCGTGCAAGTTGGGATCTAACTGAAAGAATCGGTGCTAAGAGCTTTTAAGATCCTACAAAAGAAAAACAGTCATTTGTGGAGGTTTTTCTTTGCCTTGCAATGAAGTTGGCCTGAGAGCAAGTTTCTGTCTATTTTGAGATAATAGATACATGGACTTCGATAAGAAAACCTCTATCTCTTCAACAGCGATGTCCAGTGTGTGCTGCTGAGCAATACAGAAGGAAGTGGTAACTGATGCCTGTTTGAAGCAGAAGGAGTGGATTCCCCAGTCTCCCCAGGCTGCAGCCTCTGTTTATAGGAGCCTCTGAATGTAGAAAATCTGTTGATTTACGTTTAAATGTAAATAACATTTTTTTAAGCTATGGAGTTTGCCAGTTCCTTCCCCCGGCCACCCCCCCCCCCCCATAGTCAATGGATGTAGGACATTTGCTGAAATGGCAGGGCTGCTGACCTTGTGACCGCAATGTGGTAAATCACATTTCCTGGCTTGGCAAGTCAGCATCTGGAACTCTGGCTGGACACTGCCTCGCAGCCCTGAGGCATCAGCTGCTGACTGTCAGTGCAAAAGCAAAATTTCAGGTAGCCCAGGGGAGGGAACACTCTGGTCCCCTCACCAACTCTGCTGGGGGCTTACTTGGTGTCTGTTGGAGAACGAGGTCCTGTCCTGCCTTCACCCATGACCCATTAGCTTCAGCTGTGCCCATGCCTTCTTGAGCCCATCCTTCCATTTCCCTCATGAGTTTCTTTGGTCTTTACTGAGCAAAGGTGGAAATTTAAAAGTTGAGAGAAGAGTAGGAGTGGAAGTGAATAGAATGAGAGATTCAAACTGTCAAAGCACAGACTTTTCAAAGAAGCTGTTTTTATTTCCCAATGGCAAATTGCCCTTTCTGGAAATTTCCAGAGATGATGTGTCATGGAATCCCCAGACCAGTCTCTTGTTCGGATGATATTAGGTAGTGTCCTTTTGGTATGCTGGTTGATCTTTCATAGTGTTAGTTTTTTGTTACTTAAGAAAAACTCAGCTATAAATAAAATGTATTTTTGTAATTTCCATGTGTATATATGGTATATTTCTACCAATGGCCAGTTGTTGTAGTCCCAAACCTAAATCAGCTTGCAAAACACTGTGGATGGTGCAAGATTTTATTGACAGATTAACACAATGCCTAAGTCTATCCAAATAGGTATTCATGCACTTGAATGAACAAAGAGCCAAAGAAACTCAGCCTTTCATGCAAATGGTATGAGTCTGATAAAGTCAGCCACATTGTCCCGCCTTATCAATAATATTAATATTTCATCAGTGCAATGATATCAACCCAGTACTTTGTCTACTTGGTAAATGCCTGGAAATCCTGTATGTGACAATGAAGTTTCAAGACCTTAGTATAATTAAAATATATACTTCAAAGACAGTTTCTGCGCTTCAGATGTTCCAGTGACTTACAGAAGAGAATGAGCCTACGGTCTGCACCGGCATGGCCCCAGCTTGCTAAGACGATGGAGAAACAAATCATTGCAGTCTTTGCAGAACCCCATGAAGTATTGAGTTCATCAACTGAGACGACTAAAAATATAGCGTGCTAAATCAGACACTCTGGTAAACTAGACACCACAGGTTTAAGAAAAGTATATGGGAGGAAAACCTTAAGTTGAAAAGAAATCAGTCTGTTCATGTTTTTTTCCAGCAATGGGGAGACAGCCACCATTGTTAGATTTTCTGTGATGAATGGTGGTCCCTTCTCCGAAGAGTCTCCTGGCGTCATGGAGGGGACAGACGCCCGGACTGCTGCCTCTGAGGAAAGGCAGAAGTGCTTCATGGAGGCAAAAATAGAGTCATGAGAGTCCAGAGGGTCTGTGTTCCTTATGATCCTCCAGACAGTTGAAGAAGCCACAGACGACCGTGGCAATCTCGCAGAAGGAATCAGAAGTCCAGAAAAGTGGAGTGACCTCCTGGAAGATTCCATCCCAAGCCTGCTGATTCATGATTCAACTTGCTTTCCATTTCACCATGCTGCCTGCACGCTTGTCTGTGATGCATTTCTTGAACTGTGCTAAGAAGTTTAAAAAGTAGACAAGGGTCGTATGAGGGACACCCCTACGTTCTTGTGAAGAAAAAAAAGATGATTGGATATGTAAAGGACTTCAGATAAAGTGTATAGAGGACGATGCATTTGTGGCATAATAAACACTTTTCAGAACTTGTTTTGATGTGAGTTTTCTGCCTTCATGAAAAGAAACGCATTTGGGCTTTTTCCAGAGGGTGCCATCGAGGAAATGGCATTCTCAACTGCTGTTCAAGACTGCAGGGGCGTATTCCTCTCTCTGTGCCATGGAGCCAAACAAGCAGGCAGTGAGGCCATGACCGCCTTTCATTATGAGGTAGCAGGCTCTATGCTCTGCATTAGGAGAGGCAGTCCCGTGGTGCAGGAACATAAAGGTCTATTGTGTGCCCTGGGTACCCATGATCTGCGAAGGCAGTGGTTACCTATACAGCAGCAGGTTGCCTCTTTCAGGATGTGCTATTGTGCTATGGACTTAATGTTGAGTCCCACCCCCCACCCCCCATTCATTTGTTGAAATCCTAACCCCAATGTGATGCTATTAGGAGGTGGGGGCCTTGGGAATGATTAGGTCATGAAGGTGGGGTCCTCATGAATGGGATTAGTGCCCTTGTAAAAGGGATCTCAAAGAGCCTTCTTGCCCTCTTTTTTGCCATGTGAAGGTACAGTAAGAAGTCAACAGTCTTGCAACTCTGAAGAGGGTTCACCAGACCCTGATCCTGCTGGCACCCTGATCTTGGACTTCCAGCCTCCAAAAGTGTAAGAAATAAATTTCTGTTGTTTAAAAGCCACCCAGTCTGCCGTACTTTGTTACGGCACCCTGGGCTGACTGAGACAGAGTGGATTATATAAGAATCAGTTCTCTGGTCCTGGAACTTATGTTGTACACTCGTTAATTTAAGAATTCAGCAGCAGAGCATGTAATTTCTGAACAATCTTGATGGAAGAATGGATAGGAAATTGTTAGATTTGTGATTTTTTAAAAAATATCAGAGTACAGATGAAGACAGGAATTTAAATACCTGACAAAAAAATACTCTTCTAATAGCAGTAAACAGAGAAATGGATCAAAAGACTTAAATATTGATTATAGATAAATAAGCTTCTTTTTTCTACCTGAGGCACCTTTTTCTACTCAGGCATTCAATGTTTAATGAGTAAAATAACAGATATTATTTATAAAGTTTGAGAACATAATTTAAACTTGATCTGTTCCTTCTACCATACACCAGAAAATACTTGGACTTTCCTTACAAAATACAGCTAAACACTCTTAGGGAAGTACAGTGATCTAGTTTGGAGCAGTGACTGACTCAGATCCATGTGTTAGAAATTAAATTCTCCCCTATAGTCCAACCTTGAAGGTATTCCAGTCAAAGACCTTTGCAAGGACTATTCACACTTGCTCAAAAGTGTGGGAATTGACTGAGAGAACACAGAGCTATTTCATAGAAATAAAACACAGATCCCATATGGGAAAGCCTGGAGACAGCCATCCTCACTCTTACTTTCTCTCACATCTTCTCTCCATATGGGCTTTCATCTCTGTTTCTCTCCGTATATTCTGTATAGTTGCTCATTTCTCTCGCTTCCTGTGGCCTCCTAGCATTCTCCGTTTTCTCTTTACTGTGTCTACAGCTGAGAATCCATCCCAGGACCCACTCCGCACCACCTTTTCTTCCCTGTACCCACCCCTTTCTGACTACCATCTCTGCCCAAATCTTGAGACTCTGATTGGTCCAGTCCATCTGCCTGTGGATGAGCCACCCCTGTGTCCCATGCCTGTCCAATCAGCAATCATCAAGGAGGCAGAGTCATGTAAAACAAACATGGCCTCCTGGACTGACTCTTTCAATAAGAGCCTTTGTTGGGGGCTAGTACCCAGAGGAGGAGCGTGAGTGGGAAGAACCTTCAAAAGGAACCTCCTCAGCACTGAAATTGATCAGCACTCCAGACAGCAGATGAGCCATCCCTGTGGACACTGCCGCAGAGAGGAAGGTCATTGCGCATCAGGTGGGAATGCATGCATTTGAAACCCTGGTGGACTGGCCAGCCCTGCCCCAACCACATGCCATCCTAGCACCAGTACTACTGATACTACTTCTGGGTCCAAGGATGATTATGGTCAAGCCCCACGTAGCACCACATATTGCTCAGCAGATAATAAATACTTGTAAATTGAATTGCATGATCTTAGCTCAGATGCTGTTAATGTAGCTCGCCACCACATACCTGCATGGATGAGGAAACTGATGAGCCTCTCTAAAGAGACTTGTGAAACAAAATTAGTTTCAAGTGAAATTGATATTATTGTGTCTATGCCCTTCCAAATATAATAAGTTAGTGTCCTGAGAATTGAAAGGTCTCTTGATTTCTTAAGGTGAATGGTTATAGATTAGAGTCCTAACCTTCAGCCTGTGGTAAGTGCTAAAATGTAGAGGGCTTCTGGAAAGGACAATTTAGGAAATAGAATAGTGCCAGAAACAAATTGTTTTAGACAATGTTAAGTTGCTTTGATTATGCAGGTTTCAAAAACAATTGTGATGTGGCAGAATTTGTCTTCATAGGTCAAACCCATACTTTAGTGAAAGCCATTACATAATGAAATCTAGAAATTGATTATTTTCATTCTCTGACCTTGGCCAGACTTTTATAAATTATGGAGGGAGGCTGTCAATGTATTTTACATAAATTAACTGTGACAACACCTTATTTCCCCCATTTCTTCCTTATGTCTAAATTCACCCCACCCACATACTAACTGGGGGAGAAGGTTTATACCAAACAGAATCAGAGTATCATTCATTGGTCTGGAAATCTTGAAGAAGTCATAAATAGTCAAGGCCTTAGGCAACTCACTTTAAACCATTTTCTGACTCCTCATCTATAAAATGAGAAAAACTGGATGCCTGGGTGGCTCAGTTGGTTAAGCGTCTGACTTTGGGTAAGGTCATGCTTTCACGGTTTGTGGGTTTGAACCCCGCATCAAATTCTGTGCTGACAGCTCAGAGTCTGCAACCTGCTTCAGATTCTGTGTCTCCCTCTCTCTGCCCCTCCCCCGCTCATGCTCTGTCTCCTCCTCCCTTAAAAATAAGTAAACATTAAAAAAAATTAAAAAACAGTGAGCATAACGCTTCCTACCTCCCATGGTGTTTGTGAGGAACATGTGGCATATTGTATCTGAAAATGCTCTGAGAAGTATATTTGAAGGTATTCTTACTAAATTATTAGCTTCATAATTTGGTCTTATGTAGTGAAATATTTTAGCTCCTTCCATCTACTGAACTAATTTGTCACATATTCTATAAAATTTTTTAAAAATGAAAATGTTCCTAAGTCTGGAACTGCCCACAAAAGCCAGCCTCATCTGGAGCTGCATTGTGCTGTTGCTACTGTCACTGTTTACATTTAGAGGTGACACAAACATTGCACTTGTGCTTTCACTCGGGGTGGAACACCTAGGCTGGCGATTCCCACCAACCACATTAGCCACACATTAGGCTGAGATAAGATAATTACTGAACGGGAGCTTCAACTCCAGCTGTTGTCACTTAATGCTTTGCTTTCTGATTGACTTTGTACATCTTTGGCCTCTGCCAGGAACAGAGTGTTCATATGCTGTTAGAATTTTTTTTATTGTAAAATAAAAAGCAAAGGCTTTCATTCTCCAAAACCTGCCTACTTTCTCATTCTACCTCTTCTATGTGGTGAGATGGAACCCTCCTCACAACCCAACTGCACAGCGAGTTGTCAAAGAACAGGAGCACTCCATGTGGTCTCAGCAGCCCTCCCAGCCTGAGCATGTGCTCCTCAGCCAAAAAGAACTCACCCCTGGCCATCCCAGTCAGCCCACCCATGACTGTGTTCTTGGAGTGGATGGTTTCCCAGGACACCCAGGGCAGAATAAGCCAATGTCTAGTCATATGCCCCTCTCAGAACATAAACAAGTCCCATCCAGGTCAGTGGCTCCCAAGGAGTCCAGGATGACATTGGTATGGGACACAAACTTCCAAGACCACCTACCTTTCCTCACCTTTGCTAGTCCCAGCAATCATGATGTCTGCCTCACGCTCAGCCGTACTCATGTGTTATGTCAATGCCCGGCCCTCTGATGTAAGCTGATTGAACAGGAGACCCTTCTGACCCAGGAGCTACAAATTCATAGGCTGACCAACCACAAGAAATGTAGCTCAGCACATGGGACCAGGCCAACTGGATTCTCTCCGTGGGAAATACCAAGACACTGAGTCTATTAGCAACAGATGCTGAAACTCAATGGTCAAGATTCAGAGGCCATGATGGGCTGTATTCAATGCAAAGGTCTAAGAAAATAGAATATTGAGTAAGAAGTAGCCTTGACGCCAAGAAGACTTAGAGTATAGGTAAGTAAAACTATCTCCTATAACAAAAATAGACAAATGAAAACCAACTCTTGAGTGTTTTTGAGGGAGTCCCTACATCCTAATGGAGAGCCACAACCCTAGGGCTTTTGCGGCTCCATTCAAACTCAGGCAGCTTGGACAGTAACTGCATGTCATTTCTCACTGGAGCCTAGTCTGCTAAGCTCTCTGCAAGTATTCAGAAGTACTTAGAGACAGAAGAAGCAACTTTTACTCCTCTCTCTGCTCCCCCTGTAAAGAGGGCTCACACATGAACAAAAAACACTCCCAAAGCCACTGTCTTGCTGTGGGGATGAGGACTAAACTTGGAGCCTCCACAAAATGTTCTGGTGCTCACCATTGCAGGGAATAGGGCCAGTGTGCCCAGGAGCAGAGGGGCTCCCTACTCCTCCATTTCCTTTCTCTTTCCTCCTGGATGCTGGCTGCTCTGAACCTTCGGGACAAATGAAATGATCAAATATAGGGAAGTGTCATTCATCCCAGGAATGGCAGACAGACACAGACCCAAGGAGCTGGAAGAGACACATGGCAATCCCAGCCTTTTCTTACTGGGGTCCCATCAGAAAAAGGAGAGCAAATTTATTCCAAAGGACAGTCTCTAGACTTCTGTGAGTCACTGTCACGCATCCAATTCATGGGCTCTGCTGGCCCCTGGAAGCTGGAAAGAATGCACCTAGGAAAGGATGTGGAATCTCATAATGGAAACATTAGTGAGGGTGTTGTCAATGGTCAATCACCTGTA